TCACCACCTGACTTAAACTTTAATTTGTTATGTTTGTTACAGGTTTTGCCTGCATGTGTGTCTGTGTACCACATGCGTGCAGTGCCCATGGAGGCCATAGGAGGGCATCAGATCTCTGGGACTGGAGTTGCAGTCAGTGATGAACTGTCATGTAGGTGCTGAGATTAGAACCTGGGTTCTTTAACTGCTAAGCCATCTATGCAGTCTATTGTTGCTGTTGTTAAATATTTTTTTATTTTTAATTGGGTAAGTGCATCTAAGTGCAGGTGTTCATGGAGACAGAGATGGGTGCCTGATCCTCTGGAGCTGGAGTTTACAGGTGGTTCTGAGCTGCTTCACATGGGTGCTAGGAACTGAACCCAGGTCCTCTGCAAGAAGATCATGGACTCTTCCCTGCAGAGCCATGGCTTTAGCCCCCATGTGTCCTGTGAGAGAGGTTCTCAAGTACTCCAGACTGGCCTGTGAGTACCCAGGTTTCCTGTCTCCACTCATCTCTCTCAGGAGTACTGGGAAGACAGGCTTCTGAAACTATATCTTGTTTTATGTGGGATTTGAATTCAAGTCCTAACACTTCTGTGTTACATGCTTTACCCACTAAGTCATCTCCTTAACCCCAAACAAAAATCTATTAACAATAATTAAAGATACTCTATTAAAGATAATCTATTAAAATAAATATTTTTACTTTTTTAGGGGCATGGGTGGGTGGTGTGGCTGAGTGTGCTGGTTTGAATAAGAATGCCCCCCCACACACACACACACAGGGCTCATATGAATGCTTGATCACTAGTGAGTAGAACTGTTTGAAAGGATTAGAAGAATTAGGAGGTGTGGCCTTGCTGGAGGAAATCTGTGGAGGGGGGGCCCTGTGGTTTCAAAAGCACACACCAGGCTGTTCTTTGTGTGTGTGTGTGTGTGTGTGTGTGTGTGTCTGTCTGTCTGTCTGTCTGTCTCTGTCTCTCAGCTACTTCTCCAGCACCATGTCTGCCTGCCTACTGTCATGCTTCCTGCCATGATGGTCAGGGACTAACCTTCAGAAACTGTAGGCAATGCTTTCGTTTATAAGAGTTGCCATGGTCATGGTTTCTCTTCACAGCAAGAAAACAGTGACTAAGACACTGGGTGTGTGCCACAGCATGCATGAAAGTCAGAGGATAACTTGCAGGACCCACTATGTTGGACAGGAGGATTGAACTCACATATATCACCAGGCTTGGCAACAAACATCTTTACCCACTGAGAGCCATCTCACTGGCCCTCAAGCTATAACCCTTCCTTCCTTCCTTCCTTCCTTCCTTCCTTCCTTCCTTCCTTCCTCCCTCCCTCCCTCCCTCCCTCCCTCCCTCCCTCCCTCCCTCCCTCCTTTCTTTCTTTCTTTCTTTCTTTCTTTCTTTCTTTCTTTCTTTCTTTCTTTCTTTCTTTCTTCCTTGAGACATGGTATAGCCCTGGCTGTCCTGGAACTCACTCTGTAGACCAGGCTGGCCAATATCAGAGATTTGCCTACTTCTGTCTCCTCCTGATTGCTAGGATTAAAGGTGCATGACACCAATGCCCAGCTTAGTGAATTTTTATATATTTTTGTTGTTTCAAGACAGGTTCTAATTATGTAGCCCAGGCACTCATGGTGATCCTCCTGCCTTGGTCTTGAAGTGCTTGCTTTACAGGTATAAGCTATGGTGCCTAGTGTAGTTTTTGTTGTTGTTGTTGTTATTTTGTTTTTTAGGATCAGTTTCTCCTTCAGAGCCACACTGAGAGGAAGTTTTAGGGTATCCCACCTCCTCAATCTTCCTGCTCCACACATTCAGCTCTTCTCCTGGGCAGAGAAACAAGTGCTCTGACTCAGCATTCACGTGGACACCCTGAGAAGCCATTTTTTTCTGTGGCAAGGACGTGGGGCCTGGGTCAGCTCTTTGTTGTTCAGTAACAAATTGTTGCGAGATCAGTCCAATGCCACCATGTTTTTATCTGGTTGCTCCTGTGGGGGACAATTCTGCTCAATGTCACAGGGCCTCTTGTTCAGTGTCTCACAGGATATTATCTCCTCTGTGTCCTCAGCTCAAGGCCAGACCTCAGCTCCCAGGGACCTGCCTCTCTGGGAGCTAGCCAGCAGGCTTGATATTCTGTTGGGCCATTGACCTGCATCTTGGGCTGCTGAGGCCAGGCCTAGCTGGTATACACTCCCCTTCCCTTTGCTGCTGTTGTAGCTTGGTGATGGTGTCTCTGTAGCGCAGGCTGGCCTCAATTAATGATCCTCTTGCCCTCCTGCCTCAGCATCCAGAGTACTGGGATGACAGGTGGACATCACCACACCCAGTTTCACCTGTTTCCTTGGTCTGTGTGTCCGGTCCCGGTACAGTCACGTGCACACATGTGCATCCTCACATGCAGACCGAAGGTTGGCCGTAGGTGTCTACCTCGATCACTCCTCACCCTAAGTGTTGAGTCAGGGTCTGTTTCTGTACTTGGCTTTCTATTGCTGTGAGGAATCATCATGGCCGAAGGCACGTTGGGGAGGAAATGGTTTACTCCAGCTCACAGCTCCATATCACAGCCCATCACTGAGGAAAGTCAGGACAAGAACTTAAGGCAGGAACCTGGAGACAGGAGCCAACACAGGCCATGGAGGGGTGCTGCTAACTGGTTTGCTTCTCATGGCTTGCTCAGCCTGCTTTCTTAAGTACCTCAGCACCAGCAGACCATACTTGGCACTACCCACAGTGGGCTGGAGCCTCCCACATCAATTATCAATCAAGAAGGTGCCCCATAGACTTGCCCATAGGCCAGTTTGATCTAGGCATTTTCTCAGTTGAGGGTCCCCCTTCCCAGATGACTCTTAGCTTCTGTGAGGTTGACAGAAAAGTAACCAGGAAAACTGCTTATTCTAGAGCTGGCCAATTCAGTCATCTCGGCTATTCAACTTGCCCTAGGTATCCTGTCACTACCTCTTACTAGCTGGCCACCATGCCTGCCTGAAAAACCAACTGTTCTGGGACCTTACCCATGTGCAGAACACCCCATTACCTTTGAGACACAGGGATTGCTGGAGTTTGGGTATGGCTTTGGAGGGGCCCAGCCAAGGGCATGTGCTGTGTACATCTGCACAGTGTGAAGGAGGCACAAGCCCAGGGCTGAGAGACCCCCAGAAGAGATGAATGTGTATCTCCTGTGGCTCGTTCTCTATGGAGTGGGCCCTTCTCTATGTGTGGCATATGTGCATGCCTGTGTATGCCTGTGAGTACAGATGCATGTGGGGCCATATTAAAGTTTCTTCCATTAAGTTCTTTTTTTTTTTTAATTTAAAAGATCTTTCATGAATATGAATGTTTGGCATGCATGTGTGCCTTCAGAGGTCAGTGAGGGTGTCAGAGGCCCTGGAACTGGAGTTACAGTCAGTCATGAGCCACCGTGTGGGTGTTGGGAACGGAGCATAGGCCCTCTGCAGGAACATCAAGTGCTCTTACCCACATCGCTGCTCCTCCAGCTTCTCTACCTTGTTTCCTATCTTTGAGACAGGGTCTCTGCCTGGCATGGAAATTACCAGCTCACTTAGGCCAGCTGACCCACGCCATCCCCTAATCCTGCCTCCACCTCCCAAATTCTGGGCTTATTGGTATTCATTACCAAGCCCAGCCATAAATATACTTATGAAAGAGAACATTTTTATAAGAAAGCATAGGAAGAATTATGTATTTGATTGACTTCACCAACTAAATACAGTAGATTTTTCTTGTTTATAGTTTAAAATCTGGCTGGGATGGACTTCCTTGTATACCTGTGCCTTAAAATAAACTTACTGAGTTGTCTTTGCACAAGCCTATGAAAACTTAAAAACAAACAAAAAACAGAAAGAAAGGGTAATCAGGAGCTGGGTACGGTGGCACACAATGGTCTTCCAGGCCCTCAGGAGGTGAAGGCAGGACAACCAGAAGATTGAAAGTTGGAGGATAACCTAGTGAGGCCTTATCTCAAAAAAACAAGGATTGGAAATGTGGATCCATAGCGCACTTACCTAACATATGCAAAACCGTTGGTCCCAGCCCCAGCACTAAAATGAAAAAGTAAGTTTGGAAGCAGCGGTGGTTCGGTCCAGACTTCGATCCAGCTGTGAATGGGATCAAGAAGATGCAACTAGAGATAATTTAGCTGGTAAAATGCTTACTCTAAAAGCATGAGAATCCACACTAGCTGTCTGCGAGTCCAGTACTGCAGGGGTGGAGGCAGGTGGGTCGCTGGGGATGGAGACAGTGAGCTTTAGTGATTTATGCCTCAAAAAATAAGGTGGTGGGTGGTAAAGAGCGTGTCTATCTCTGGCCTCTGTACACACACGCCTTGCAAAAGAATTCAGTCTCTGTGGCTCTACAAGTGCTGCTCGCCCACAGCCCATCGCCACATCAAACCCACTGAATAGGAGTACAAAAACTTTCCAGAAAGAACCAGGTTGTTACAACTACCAAGACTCTTCTGTGTTGGTCTTTGGTCAACACAGACAGTTTTTGCTCTGTCTCTCTTTTTGAGATAAGGTCAACACCTAAATGGCAATTTCTTTTAAAACATGCTCTTAACTGTGAAGCCCAGTCTAGGCTGGGCTGGAACTCTTCCGTGATCCTCCTGTCTCAGCCTCCCTAGTACTGAGATCAGAGGCGAGCATGAACTCTGAAATGTGAATTTTTATTAATTAATGCGTCTTGAAATGTACTTCAACTTTGCTTTACTTTTTTTTCCTTTCCAACAAAATAAAGCAAAAACTCTTCGTGATTCCGTGCTGCATCGCCACAGATCTCCAACCCACACGGATCGAGAACGACCAACCCACACGGATCGAGAACGACCTCCCCCGAGGCCCCCGGGGAACCCCGCCCCTCCTGCGCGCCCCCCGCGTGGACACAGCCCCCCCCCCCCCCCCCCCCCCTCGGGGCCCCCCCCCCCCCCCCCCCCCTCCATGCTGATGCCCAACTCTCCACCCCCTAAGAGGCGGGGCCTGCGCAAGCGCGACCTGGGCTCAGGCGGAGGCTGGGCAGACGCGGCTCAGACTATCCAACATGGCGCAAGTAGGCGGCGGAGGGTCTGCAGGCCGGGGATTCGGGGGCTCCCGCTGGGGTCGTTCGGGCTCCGGAGGCCACGAAAAGTTGCCGGTGCACGTGAGTAATCTCCCCAGTTTTCTCCTGGGGACTCGAACCCCCGCGGGCCGGTGGCCCGCCGCGCGGCCCCGACTTGGCCTCCGCTCTGCGCAACCGGGGCCCGGGGACCCCACACCCCTTCCCTGGAATCCTTCGCACTTCCCGGCGGCCCCACAGTTTCCCCCTAACGCTTCATTCCTTCACGCGGATCCTCGGACCTCCAGAGATGCCGCGGTTCTCGACATTTCTCAGTCCTGTGGTCCCTGTCATCCCGGGGACCTCACGGGGCGCCCCGGAACCTCTCGGTCCTCCTCTCTGGCCTGTAGTTATCCTCGCCGTCCCTCGGTTTTCTAAGGGGCTTCGCGACCTCTCCGAGACCCGTCGGTCCTCCCCGCCGGTCCTCGGTCCAACCCGGAACTCCTCGAGGCCCCCCGGGACTACCCGCAGGTTCTCGGTCCTCCTCGTCGGCCGTCGGTCCTCCCCGGAATACCGCAGTTATTCTCGCGGCCTTCTGCCGCCCCGCGCCACTCCTCTTCTGTCCCTGGCCTTCCAGCCCTCGTTCTTCACATAGGACCCCTGCCTACCCGCGGCCTTCTCATTCCCCGCAGGTGGAGGACGCTCTGACATACCTCGACCAGGTGAAGATACGCTTTGGCAGCGACCCTGCCACCTACAATGGCTTCCTGGAGATCATGAAGGAGTTCAAAAGCCAGAGGTAATCTGCAGGGCCTTGTGTACCTGGGAGTAGTAGGCTGAGCCACCCTTGGGGCCCTCAGCACAGGTTTGAAGGGCTCCAGAACCCTTCCTAAAACAGGCACAGAATGAGGGAACTCTGAGGAGCTGATGGGGATTCTGGAAAGGTGCAGGAATTTGGGAGTGGGGGAGATCCAGGCCTGGACAGAGTGCTGGTGCAGTCTTTATTTAAAATGTTGATTTGGGAGTGAGATGGCCCAATATGTAAAGGTGCCTGCCACCAAGCCTGACCACCTGAGTTCCAGACACTCATGACAGGAGGAGAACTGACTCCTACAAGTTGTCCTCCGACCTGCACTTGGAACTGTGGTACATGCCCACAGGCAAAAAAAAAAAATCCATGCATAACATTTGGAAATGTTTATTTTAAAGAGTTTTAATTGTGAAAGGTTGGGGTACATATTTTCATTGTTAGTTTTGGGGAACATCTTTGTAAATGCTGCAAGAAAATGTTACTTAAGGGGACACACATCATCTCTTCTTAAATCTTGTCCCCAAGATGCTTCTCACAGCACTTCCTAATCTGTAGCTTGTGTGGCTATAAAGGGCATAAACGACAGCAACTTTTGTAAACACAGAACAGCTGAATTGGGGTGCCACTGAATTATGCCTGTGTCTAATAGAACCTTCTGGGAGGGGTGGATTGTTAAGGGTTCACCCTAGTGAATTAGGTAGGTGGAATTAGAGCCCAAGCTGTTAGCCAGCTTTTCACAGGTCTTGGTACTGCTCTGCCATTATCCTCTCTTAGGAAGTATGGAAGGCCTGGTCTGGTTTCTGGTGCTGAGGCCCGAAGATGACCTTACCCATGTTGTCTCCATTTTTCTCCCAGTCCCCCAAGTTTATACACCTCCTTTAGCTAAAACAAGAAAGAAAGAAAGAAAGAAAGAAAGAAAGAAAGAAAGAAAGAAAG